CTGGTATTCTCTGGTTTAAACACTCCAGTCTGGTTATGATCTTGAAGGCTGCTGTGAATCTATAGTCCAAAGCCCTATCGTTTACAGTGACTCAAACCATGACATCTGTGAGTTTACACCTCCTCCAAAATAACCTAATTTTATCCTCTGTCATTTGGATCAGTGCAGCGGTGAAATCTGATCACAGATAACGGAACCAAAAGAAAGACATTCCTCTCCTCTCTTGAGTTGTATTGTGTTAGGCGTATGTCAGATCTCAGCCTACTGTATCATCTCATATTGGGACTCAGACTTGGGTATCTGACACATCGCAGTGTAAAGCAGCTCTCGTTTCTCTAACCAGCTACCATTCTATGCGTTTGTTGCAATTAAATGCTTGTAAAAACAACTCCATTTGCCACTCAATGGGAAGTCTAACTGTGATCCAATTAGAGTATGCCCCATCCAGTTACCTCAAAATGCTTTACAATATTACTGGATGAGTGAGACACAGAGGGTGGGATTTTGAGAAACTCTCATTGGGCACCTTTACGTTGCATTAAGAGACAAAAAAAATAAACCTCCACGGGCAGCGAGTCTCAGAACGTGGGTCAACAGATTTGGGCTCGCGCTATGGGATTAAAAATAGCAGTGTAGACATTCCCACGTGAGCTGGTGCCTAGCCTCTGAGATCCACCCCATTCACTGGCTCTCAGAGCCTGGGCTCCAGCCCAAGCAGGAATGTCTACACTGCTATTTTTAGCCTCGTAGTGCAAGCCCCCGAGCCTGTGTCAGTTGACCTGGGCTCTGAGACTTGCTGCAGCCAGGGTTGGGGTTTTTGTTTGTTTGTTTGTTTGTTTTTGCAGTGTAGCTGTACCTATTGTTGGCTTAATTCTGCTCCCAAGGGTTTTCATTAGTCTGAACGACTACTATGAGCTGATGAAAGAAAATCGCTGAAAAGACTAATGTGAAAAACGCTTGGAATCTTTACAGCACCCAGCAGTTAGTGCCAGTAAATATTTTCTACATCCCATGGACTTTATCTTCCAACAGTGCAAATATTATTAAAGGAAATGGCAGGATGAAAGGGAATAGCTGCAGGAAGCACTTTAGGTTCCTTTTAGCACTGCTCCAAGGAGACCGTAGAGTGATGAGGAGAGGGAGAGGGAAATAGTAGAACTGGGATTCAGCCTTCCCCAGCGCAGCGCTGTTTACATGTAACACTGAGGAAGTGGAGTGGTATATGTAATGGTGACAGCAGGATGCTCTGTAAGGATGTCAGGGATGCTTCTAGGAAAGCATGTATGGGAGCCATTGAGGGTAGGGAGAGCAGTGTTAACTAGTCCCTTTGGTCTGTGAGCCTCATTGGCGGAAGCAGGGCTAAAGGCGACCTAGCAGCTTGTGGTAGCGTGTCATGTCAGCTGCTTCTGCAGCCATTGCTGAGGGGTGTGTGGAGAGTGTGGAAGGAGAAAAGACCCTCTGTGCATCTGGCTTGGGTTCTGAGAGGTTGTGACTGGGTTTTCCCAAAGATTCCTTGCTTCTATGGCTTTATTTGGTGTCAACCTCTGCCCCTACTGCAATCCTGCAAACCAGAAGTTGGGAGAGGAACAGAGCCAAATGGTCATTGTATTCCACAGGGATTTGGGGCTGCATTCTTTCCTGCCCCCTTTGGCTTTATAGGGCAGGGCAACTGGGATCTAAGAGCCTGATTCTCTCCTTTGTTAGGCCGCTCCATAGATCCGTGTGGAGGGTATAACTGAAGGGAGACCCAGACCACTATCGCTGCCTTTATCTCCTGCACCTCAGCTGTGCTGAGCACAAGGTTGGCACAGCTAGGACTGTCTACTTATATTCAGTATTTATAGAGCACAATCACTATAGAATCCACGCTCCTCACCATCTTTAATGCACCACACCAGCCCTTGTCCCACAGGAAGTCGGGGCACAGCAGGGATTTGAACCCCAGCGCTCTCACAGCCCAGGCTAGTGCCCTGCCTGCTGGACCCTTTTTTCTCTCTGAGGCCATGATCTTTTGTTTTGAAAATTATATTCATCTTTTGCCTCACGCTAGAGTTCCCTGTTTCCTAGTGCTGTGAAAGGAAATGGAAAAAAAAAAAGATAATTACTGGCATGATGATAATTTTATGCATTGTACTCTCAGCAGCACTCGTAGAAATGAAATAAATACTGTTTTCCCTGCCACTGCTGAGAGGTGGAGAGGTTGAAGTTAACTAAAATAAACTGTACTAATTTTTCAAATCTGTGTTTTTATTCTTTAAACCTGCCATGTATATATTCCAAAACTAACTCCGTGGTATGTTGCTGGCTAATTCAAGAATACAAGAAAAAGGGGTTATTTTAATGCTTTGTGGGTTGTGCTGTCCAAGTGGAAAAGCGATTCTTGACCTTCTGTACCAAAATGAAGACTTCTCTTTCATCTGGTTTCCATTCTATTATTTGTGCACCTTGTTATATTTAACATTGAAATCCTGGTTTCTTCTCCTTGACCCATGTTCCAGTGATTTATGTGAAATTGCTGATCCAGATGTTATCTTTGGCATCTGGTGATTCAGTTCAGACAGACCCTGAAGAATGTGGAGAAAGTAAATGTGATTTTTGAACTGCCTAATGCCTCTACTTTACACGCATCAGATGGGCCAAAAAATGCCAGTTGAAAATCATTCTTAATGAGTCACATATTCCTACTTGACATTGCTAGAAGAAAACTCGACAATCAAAATTTTATGAAAAAACTAAGATCTAAATTACACTTAATTTTTTTGTAGCAATTAGTCTTGCCAGGTTAAACTATTTAATACATTAACTAACGGGTAATAGGATACAGAGCTTTTTGTTTCTTAACTGCTAGCTGAGGTAGTTAGTGACTCAAAGTCCTCACCATCTGTTGGCTGTTTGGGTTGATGGTCCTAGTCCAGTTCTAGGTGGAAAGCCACCAACTGGCAGTTTCAACAGGAAAGGCCAAGACATGAGTGGTCATGGAAACGAAAATACCTTTTCACACCCTGAAGGGGTCCCTCTGGATTGAGTTACCAGTGAGGAAAGCTTGCCCTGGCAATCAAAGGATGTCAGTCTCCAGGACTGCCACGTGACACTTTTCCCTGTGCAAAATTCACCCTAAATTACAAAAAAAAAAGGATTGAAAAATCGACTGTACATATATCCCTAGAGGTTTGCTATCATTGGAGACCTGCTCCTATGTCATATGTCATTAACTATCACAAAGCTTTTGGGCAACCTTCCTATTATACAGGGTATTTTTTAATACCCTAAGTCAGTGGCTCTCAACCTTTCCAGACTACTGTACCCCTTTCAGGAGTCTGATTTGTCTTGCGTATCCCAAGTTTCACCTCACTTAAAAACTACTTGCTTACAAAATCAGACATACAAATACAAAAGTGTCCCAGCACACTATTACTGACAAATTGCTGACTTTCTCATTTTTACCATATAATTATAAACTAAATTGATTGGAATATAAATATTATACTTACATTTCAGTGCACAGTATATAGAGCAATATAAAAAAGTCATTGTCTGTATGAAATTTTAGTTTGTACTGACTTCGCTAGTGCTTTTTATGTAGCCTGTTGTAAAACTAGGCAAATATCTAAATGAGTTGATGAAGACCTCTGAAGACCATTGGAAGACCTCTATGTACCCCTAGGGGTATGTGTACCCCTGGTTGAGACCCACTGCCCTAAGTTGTTCTCTGGCGTTAGCTCTTGCTACTGTTTGTGGCAACAGTTTCCAGTACATTAGGTGCATGTAGATGAGCCTCAGCCAAAACCCCATATTCAAATCCCTCTGTGCTTGGAAGAAGTTTGGATCCAAACTTTGAGCCCATCTTTAACAACTAATATGATACTGGGTTTCCTAAAAGCTCCGGCCCATCATTTAGATATTTAAATCAGCAATTGGCACGTACAACAGAGATAAGATGATGTTTTCTTTAGATGCCCGCTTTTATGTAAACTCTGTGTAAGTGACCATCAGTTTAAAACTCTAGAACGTTTGTGAACTACTAGGAACCAATGCATGATGGACAAATTCTGCCCTTGGATATGTGCCCACATGTTGCATTTTCTCCAGTGAGAGTTGTCTGGACAAATGCTAGTTTCGTCGCTTAATCTTCTTGTGGGAGGCACTTAGGCCTGGTCTACACTAGGAAATTAGGTCAGTATAATTACATTGCTTGGGGTATGAAAAATCCACATCCCTGAGTGATGCAGTTAGACAGACCTAACCCCCAGTGTAAACAGCACTAGGTTGATGGGAGAATTCTCCCGTTGACCTAGCTAAGGTCTCTCAGGAAGGTAGATTACCTACGTTGGTGGAAGAACCCTTCCTGCTGGCGTAGGGAGTGTCTACACTGAAGTGCCACAGCAGTGCAGCTGCACCACGGTAGCATTTTACGTATAGACAAGCACTTAGATATTATGTTGGTGTGGATGCTATAAGAACCTGAATAAACTCTGTGAAGGTAAAATTGAGCCCTCTATTTCCTTTGCACAGTAAAGGGGAAAAAAAACTTTTTGTGTTCTTTTCTGCACTCCTAGATCTGCATTGAAATTAGCGTTGTCTCATTAAGCTGCAGGTAACAATTGCAGATCCATACTACCAGCAGCCACGTTCAGAGTTTTGGGGTGTTACGCCTACATAATTTTCTTTTTGATCTTCGGACTTCACCTCTCTTGATCACTGCCACCATGGAAAACAATGAAATTCTCAAGTTTGAGCTTTTCTTTCAATGCTCTGTCTCCAGTCCCTAGAAATTGTAACCTGACCTCCATCACCACAACCGCTTCATGTCGGATCATTTTCAGCCTCAGGGCCATCTTTCAGCATCTGCCTTCTAGCTTTTCTTTAAGCAGCTGGTGTATCCATCACTCCCTGTTGTACTGATTTCATAGAGCTATGTCCATTCACACCAGCTGAGGAGCTGGACCATTTTTTCGCCTTTTCCTATATTTATAAATCCATCTCTTCCATTGTTTCATTAGCTCTAACTCTGAGGTGCAGTGTTTATGAAAGACATGGTACAGAATGCAGCCCAAACTTGCTGACCGCAATCCTGAGGACTACCTTTGACCTCAACAGGAATTCAGCATCAGAGGGATTGGACCCACTTGTAATGTATAGTTTGCCTAATCTAGACTTTAAGGTCTTTGGGTCAGGGACTGTCTTCCTTTATGTACTGTATAGTGTTAAGCACATTAGTAGGGAATAAGAATAATATTTTGTATTGTATTCCTTGGAGAAGCATGACAGTGAATATTAATGGTGATAATGGGGACTTAGAATTGTTTTCCAAATGAAATCATTTTCAATTGCACTTAATACAGAGTCTTCTACATGCCAGAGGTTAACAATACTACATTCAGAAATTCTTACAAATTCTATTTAAAAAGCAGTGCTTTCTTATTCCATAGAAGCTAAAGTTCCAGGCAAGCTCTGTGAAATGCAAGATATGACCTGAAGAAGAGCTCTATGGAGCTCAAAAGATTGCCTCTTTCACCAATGCAAATTGGTCCAATAAAATAAGTTATTACCTCACCCACCTTGTCACTCAAATATTCATCAGTAATTTAGAGGTATTGCTCCATCTACTGGAACATCAATCCACTTGCAAGCTTGAATTGTCTTCTATTGTACTGCAGCAAACAGCCATACATCAGCAACAAAGAAATGGGTTGGGCAAACATCAAAAGGTTTTAATGTTCCATGTAGTCAGATAAGCCTCAACGTTTGGATGCTTATCTGAACCCTTTGAGATCTCTTGTGTGTCTCCCTCATTGCAAACTAACTCAGCCTAACAAAATAAGCTTAACTTCTCTGAATGGGGAGCTAAGAAGATGTTGTTTGTAGACGTTAAAGCACAGGATAAGAGTTATGGATTCTGTTCTCAGCTCTGCTACTGACGTTTTTTATAACCACAATTTAACCTCTCAGTCCTACAGGTTCCTGGGAGGAGAAACAGAGGCATGGGAAGGGAAAGTGACTTCCCTAAAGTCACAGCAAGTCAGTTGGCCAGCCAGGAATAGACTCCAGATCTCCTGGAGCACAATGTGGTGCCTTAGTCTTTAGACAACACTGCCTCTTTGGAGATGAACTGATGTTGTCCCATTTACAGTAGTAACCATAGTTAAACTCTAGCTGCAGCTTGCTGCTATGTGCTGAATATTTTCCAGTGTTTTTTTCCAAACAGTACAAACATTATGGTAAATATGGTAAATTATGCCCCCCCCCCTTCAGAAAATTCAACATGTTTTTTAAGGAAATGTAGCATTCTACCCATGAAGCATCACACTTCACACTAGGCAGGGCAAGGATACCAGAATGATTCAAAGATGAGGCTAGAAATGATACTCAAAAGGAGCTTCTTCCCTTGAACCAGGCAAACCCTGGGTATGCTATCGTTCTGGGCCCTCAAGGGGAAATAAGGGTCAGTGCCTAATTAGGATAAGGAAATGCCAATTTCCACATGTTTGTGACAAGTTTTGATATTAATGAGTTCAAGGTCAAATGAAGGGGACTAGTTAGAGGAAATGGACAGTGAATGGGAAAGTTGGATAGGAGGAAACCGAATATAAAGCATGAAAAGGTAAAATAGGGAGGCAATGGGGAGTTGGATACTGGCTGATCTGGACTATGAGAAACCTTTATTTCCCCCCCCCACACACACTTTGTTTTTGTTTGCATTGAACACCACTGAAGTTTGTTTTGTGCTCTCTGCTATGGTAAAGCTTTTGCTTGAATATTTATTTTCCCCCAGTGCTCTGTTTCCAATAACTTTGCACTGATTTTTACAGATATGCAGTGTCTGTACCTCCTTTTAATAATGGGCTTCTGCTTATAATTAGCCTGTATTAAATGCTTTGATATCCCAATACATTTTGAGATGTTTATTACCACTTACGTCTTCATTTGTGGGCTTAGCACTTGTGCATAGTCCTTTTTTTGTACAATATAATAAGGTGCTCTCTGAAGGTGCTGTAGGCCAAAAGAGCAGGAAAGCTACAAGGTGTGTTATGATATGCAGGGAATTATGCAACTACTTCCATTAATACTCACTGTTATTAGCCGAATCCCACATTCCTCAGTCTTTACTCAAGCTAAACTTCCATTGAACTCAATGGGAGTTTTGCTGTAACAAAGATGTCAAGATTTGGCCCTATCCCCCTAAACATACACACACAGACACACTCTGTCTCTCTCAGACGAGATTATTATATGTGAAGCTGGTAGCACCACCTATATATAGTAAAAGTTGTCTGGTACTTTCCATTACTCTTCATTCATTGCTTATAACTACCAGACTTTAACTGTTCAGAATGAAAATTTGCCTCAGGCTGGTTTAATTTTGGAAAATTTCAACTGAAACAGTTCAACCACTTCCAGAAATGAAATTATGGGAAAATATGTTTCACCCATATCAACAAAATTCATACAACCATTGACTCAAGCTAGTTGCAGTGCTTCCAGGCTTTGGACCAGGGACTCCTCCAGATTTTGGGAGGGGAGGGGATATCACTCTAGTGTCAGTAGGGTGACCAGATAGCAACTGTGAAAAAATGGAACAGGGGGGTAATGGGTGCCTATATAAGAAAAAGTCCCCCAAAATGGGACTGTCCCTATAAAAATGGGACATATGGTCACCCTAAGTGTCAGGGATGTGCCTTTTACTGTTCCTGTGAAAATCCACCCAAACGTGTCCAAGCTGTAAACATCTGGAAAAAATCTCACTTTGCACATCACTCCTGGGGGAATTCTACACCACTATGCGCATGCAGAATTCATGTCCCCCGCAGATTTCTTTCATTCCCCGCTGAAAAATGACTTCTGAGGGAGAAGCAAAAGGAAGCTGCAAGAGTGGTCACATGCCCTTCTCTAGCAGCATGGGCACATCATTTCAGTGGTAAATCACTGAGGGAGGGTGGGGCTGGGGATGTCTTCTATCATGAACCAGGCTCAGCTGCTAGTCCCAGCTGAGCTGGGCGGGGGGGGGGGGGAGGGGACTTCCTCTTCCCCTGAAAGGAGCAGCCAGGACTGGGTCAGACCCATCCCCAGAAACCTTCCCTGATACTGTGCACCCCCCTGCTTCCTGACCCCATTGCTTCTCAGCCACGGGGACAGGGGTCACTGTATGGGGAGCTGCTACCCCAGCCCCTGTGCATCTGGACCCTCCCCATATGCAGAGACTCCCACTGAGCCTCATCCCCCCTCCACCAAGCCCCCTGCACCCAAATCCCCACTCCTCTGCATCCAGACCCCCAAGCCTGCACTCAGATCACCCCATGGTGATCACCCGCACTTGACCCCTCCCCGCCCTGATAAGCCCCACCCCCTGCATCTGGACCACCCCACTGAGCCCCCTGCACCCTGACCCCCACTCTACTGAGCCCTGACCAGCTGCACCCAGACCTCTACCCCATCAAGCCCTGGACCCACCCGCTGAACCCCCCCCCCCCACCACACACAGACTCCACCCTGCTGAGCCCCAACAACCTTCACCTGGACATGCCTGCCGCGTCACAATCTCCCTGCACCTGGACCCACCCCCTCATGAGCCCCCTTTGCATTGCGATTCCCCCACCGCATCTGGACCTCCCCCAAGATTGCCCCACAAAGAACTCTCTCACCTCACACCTGGATCCCCCCCACACAAAGCCTCTCTACACTTGGATCCTGCTGGGCTGAGCCTGCCTGTCCTGGCACAGGGGCCAGTGTGGGTGTGCATTTAGGGTTGCCAGGCGTCCAGTTTTTAACCGGAATGCCTGGTCAAAAAGGGACTCTAGTGGCTCTCATCCGTACACTTTCAAAAAGTGGGAGGGTTATGGCCCCTTGGCACCCCCCTCTCACTCTGGTGCCCCTGTCCGGGGCGCACCATGAAGCTAAGTTGCTCAGACTTTGTTTTCAGCCCCAGGTGGTGGGGCTCGGAGCCTCAGGCTATAGTCCCACACAGCAGTGCTTCAGCTTTCTGCCCTGGGCCCTAGCAAGTCTAATGCCAGCCATGCTTAGCTGAAATTTACTTCCGGCCACTCCTCCCCTCCTCCCCCCCAGGGGCTCCTGGTTGAGAACCACTGTTGTAGGGGATCCTCTAGTATGTTGGCCTTTTCAAAGTCATTCTTTTCCTGTGTTTGCACAGGCCACACCACTAGCATGTAATCAGAGAAGCAGTTAATGTGGCAGTTCCTCATCATTCCAGGTCAAGCTCACATGTGCAGCACACTAGCTTTATGACCTGCCCACTGCTGAACGTGAAAATTGTTTTCAATCCGAAATGCCTTTGTGGCTCTCAGGATGAAAGGGCTCACTCCCTCCAGGGTGACCCCTAAAACCTTCATCTAACTGAGGTGCTACTATATTATATTTAGGTGAGTGTGTGAGTCCCATATTGTAGCCACTCAACTTTTTTCTAATCAGGCTAGTTATTCATCAACATGTGCAGGCTAAAGCCTCCGGTTTATTTTACCCTCTTGCTGGCCAGCCCTACATGCTATCACATATGGACTGTTGGAACGTGAAACCTCTTTCAATTACAAAAACGTAATTTTCTCAAGGTTTTTCTGAAGTGCTTTCCCTGACAGCACTGTATTAGCGCTGGTGACATTTTCCTATGGCATCAATGAGCAATGCTAATACTGTAAACAAACCCACTCCTATTTAAACAAGCCTGTTATTGGCTTCCACGTGTACGACACTTACTTTAACAACAATATATTCAAAAATATATTCAACTGCAAAATTGATTTGAGCTGTGACGCGCTCTCGCTGACATTGCGCTGTGCACATGAACGCCTATGTTGGTGTAATTTATGCTGCTCGGGAGGGACATTATTTACACCCCTGAGTGACAGAAGTTATGCGAACATAGGCTGTAGTGTAGACATAGCCTCCGTTTGAGACTGCAGCACAGCTACCGCCTGCCACTCCAGCCCTTGTGTAATAGCTATCATTTTGGCTGACTCCTGGGCTTGCATCAGAGAGCGCCAGAGCTAAATTTACGCATCTGCACAGCTAGAGCTAAAATACAGATGGAACTCAAGCTGAGAACAGTAACAGAGGCAAATCCTCTAAGAGCTAGCACAGATGGGCTTCTGATTTTAACCAATAACCACCTCCCAATTGAAAAAACAAAAAACACCGGAAATGGTTAGTTGTAGATAAGGGCTTGTCTACATCAAGCAGTAATGTGGACTACGGGGGTGTGATTTCAAACGTGCATGAATGGATTGCACATTAATGGGCCACGCATACCCTGCTGACACACACTAAAGGTTCGCTAGTGCCCTTTAACGTAGCGCTGTTTGAAACAGTGCCATGCTAAAGCACACTAGGAACCATTACCAAAAGATTACATGATACACTATATACGGCTGTAATTAATAATGTATATTATATGCACATTTATATATTACATTACATTAGTCACTACATTGTATACACCGAGAGATCCCTGAAAACCCCCTGATTTTGGACATTTAAATAAAATTTAAATTGCTAAAACTAACCCCCCAAATTATATTTATAAACCCTACAAAACAGAAGCCGTACATGTACTACACATTGACCAATGTGCCCCCTCTGCACCAAGCAGTGTAGAAGTGGAATGCATGTATGTATTTAGCAATCATTTCTCAGCCGTAACTTTACAGGAAAAGGTTTCTCATTTGACACTAAATTCTGGAGCAATTTATATCAAAAGCCACTTGGAAATTTTGTTTCATAATGTGAAAAGTCAACACACATGTGAAGGCCATGGAAAAGTGGGCCTTTGAAAATTCCGCTCCATTATCAATCAGACTACACAATCAGTGTTCAGAAAATAATTAAACTCCTTTTTAAAATAGCAGTTTGACAACATTAAATGAGTATGTTTGCACTGAGCCATATCTGTGGAATGATGTTGCAGTGCTGTGAAATCCCAGATCTTTGTTTTCATAGCTTTTGAATAATGAGTGTGTAGCTCACTTAGGCCTTGGCTACACTTGCGAGTTACAGTGCTGTAAAGCCACCCCCAGCGCTGTAACTCACTCCCCGTCCACACTGGTAAGGCATTTGCAGCGCTGTATCTCCGTGGTTGAAGCGCTGCATGTACTCCACGTCCCCGAGAGGAATGGCGAGTATTGCGCTGCCGCTGCAGCGCTGCGGCGCCAGTGTGGCCGCCCAATGCGCTGTGAATGGTCTCCAGAATTATTCGGCAGTATCCCACAATGCCTGTTCTAGCCACTCTGGTCATCAGTTCAAATTCTACTGCTCTGGCCTCAGGTAACCAACCATGTGACCCACCCTTTACATTCCCCAGGAATTTTAAAAATCCCCTTCCTGTTTGCTCAGCCCGGCGTGGCGTGGAGTGCTATCAGCGAATCGTTCCAAGTGACCATGCCTCCACGTGCCAAGCAAGCCCCAGCATGGAGCAATGGCGAGTTGCTGGACCTCATCAGCGTTTGGGGGGAGGAAGCTGTACAGTCCCAGCTGCGCTCCAGCCATAGGAATTACGATACCTTCGGGAAGGTATCAAAGGACATGATGGCGCTCCAGGATGCTTATCTAGACCATCCTTGACAGATATTTGTCTAACCTGCTCTTAAAATCCTCCAATGACCAAGATTCCACAACCTCCCTAGGCAATTTATTTGAGTGCTTAATAATCCTGACAGGAAGTATGCTGCAATTTATGCCCATTGCTTCTTGTCCTAGCTTCAGTGGGTAATGAGAACAATTTTTCTCCCGCCTCCTTGTAACAACCTCTTCTGTACTTGAGAACTGTTATGTCCCCACTCAGTCTCTCACCTCCAAACACACCCAA